ATGTTTAAGAACCACTACTCTAATGCATATGAATAAAAAGAAACTCAGAAATGTACGTATTTTCCATTGACCCTCCTATGGGGAATGGGGGCATTTGGTAACAGGAAGCAGATGAATCATCGGATGCACTAAGGTAAGGTGCACAGCAATCTACTTATATGGCTTGAAATTGTTTTAACTGACTGCATATTGTCTGTCCTTTAAAGGTTTAAGATTTAAATTCTGTATTTTAAAACATGCACAAAGCTCCAGCTGAAGACCTACAGTTCAGGTCTTATATTTCTGTAACTTCCATCCTCTGTATTCCTCTCAAAAAGAAAAAAATTCCCACACAACTTTTGAAACCATCATGCCATTTGTGTCATAATGACTTTTCCAGAAACATTTTTGGATGCTGATGACAGAGAATCACAATTCCAGAAAGGAAGCAGAAGTGGAACACAAAAAAAGTTTTAAACAACATGTATTTATGGAACTGTATTTAGTAATGAGGTAAGAAAAGTGTGTAAATATGTTCTACCAAAAAGCACATTATAGTGGGCACAAAGATATATTTTATTAAAAGGAAATACACAAATAATAGTAGCAAGTTTCCCAAAACACACTACAATATATGACATTTCCCACTGCTTCTCAGAGTATACAAAATCACCTTTTGCACATAGCTTTCAAAAGCAAGTCACAATCATGTAGTACAGTAAGAACTCCAGTCCTAAAGACCTAACAAGCGAAAAATACACGATGGGAAAAGTATAAATTTTAAAAACACAGATGTGTATGTATGTATCCAGTGTCACATTCACCCACCCTACCAAGCTGTTATTACCTCTCGCCCTTGTTAGCTTTGCAGAACCAAAACAGAGAAGAGAGAATTACAGAATTTTAATGTACAAGAGGGAATGAAATTCAACAAGCATTGATCCCTTACACCTCTCCAAGCCAGCTGAAAACTGTGGGATTGCCTTAGGTGGCAAGAAGTTGTTACCATTTCTGGTACAAAAACTTGTGTTCTAACTGACAGTGAGGAACAAAAGGATTTGATACTGAAATGACATGCTGCATTTCTAGGAGTGGAATTTACCAGAAAAAAAAAAAAATCTTTTAAACTGTAAAAATAACAGAATCATTGAGGTGCAATAATTATGGAATAGGACCTATAGAACAAAGGCAAGTAGAGACCCGAAATTACAAGTTATGGCTTTAACGTTAATTTCACAGATTTTACAGAAATTCCTGGAGAGTGCTTTTAAATAGACCCCAAACAATCTACTGAAATCTATTTCTACCTGGAGAACTAAGACCATCTTTGGTACCACTATACTGTTTCTTTTGGTTGTATGCTTTACACCTTTCCACCACACGTTTGTCCTGTCTACTTCTTACAAGACATTCATCCTAGTAGCAAGTGCTACTATGCTGGGGAGGGTGTTCCAGTAACCTATTAAACTTCTCTCAATGTGTCCATTCTCCTCTCTTTATAGGGAAATCTGTGCACGCAGCAAAGCTTAAGTAGGCGGAGTAACCTTTGCACCTCAGATCCTGACTTAGATGGAAATGTCTTCAGCGCATGAACTGTCTGCTACTCTCCGTTTACACAGCAGCCTGGACAACAGCCCCCTGCCCTTCTTCCTTGGTCCACAATAAACAGGTAGGAAAGAAATAAATAGGTAAGATTTTTATGGGCTTCAGTTCCAGTCTTTATTGTAAAACTTAACCCATGCTTCAAAAAAAAGTGGCACACTTGGATTCTAGTCATTAAATCACTCTATAAAATAATTTCTAAAAATCTTTAATGATCACAGCTATTAGGACCACTTTACAGGCTCCATTACAGTTTAGGGACTATTTTATGTAACTTATAGTACATAAAAGAAAGAAGTGTATGTTCTAAGCAATAGCAGTACTAAAATCAGATTTTTAAGCGTTCATAGCTTAAGAACAGTCACCACACATTTTAAGATCCTGGGATCTTTAATAGAAACAGTCAACTAAAAAGACTGCATTTGTCAAACTAGATTACTGATTTCAAGCAACCCCTCCCCCAGTCATGTGACTACGCTCTGCGCTCAATCAGTTAAACCTTGTTTAATCTTAGTCACTATCATACATGCAAAGATTAAACAGTAACCTGTAAGGGCCTGTGACATATACGGCTCACTTGTAATTTTGTTTTAGCAGAAGCTAAAGATTCCCAACATTTTGCTAAGCAACATCCTAATCTGAGAACAATGCAGAAATTATGATTCCTTTTCCTTTGAAATCACGTTGTGTTCCACAAGCATGCCTTTCCTAATCCCTTTGCCACTACCGAGAGCAAAGGATCAGATTCTCTTTCTCCAAGTGTTTGAATAGGCACCAGTCTCCTAACTGCAATGCAGGTGCTTCTGGTGATCTCAAAGGCCATGACTGGGGTCTGTAATCGGTGTATATAATCACATAAAATAGTAAACCCCGAAGTATTTTCAACTGATACTGAAAATCAATAATATTCTGCAACTGACAGAGGTCAGTTAATCCAAGTTCAGAAAGCACTGATTTAAGGCAATACCATTGCCCACAGAGACATAATCGGTAAGTTATACACATATAATTGTCCAACATCTTATTGATTTCCTCACTTAACAAGCCTCTTCTACTCCATCACTGAAAGCAAGGCCTCATTAACTAAACTTTTAAGACACTTTTAGACACCTGCTAATTAACTAAGACAGAATTACAAAACTGGTAGCCAGCAGTGTTAATGATAAGTGCAAAAGAGTTCCCATCGGGATCTGGAAACAGATACCTGTGTTTGTACAGAGCTGAGCTCAGGCTAACAAGTCACGCTAGCCCCCACCCCCTGTGCTTTTGCACTGCCTCCCCCTGCGCCTCTGCTTCCAAGGGAGTGCCAGGCTTGGGAGAGTCGGCTGGCTTCATGCAGGCAGTTACATAGTCCATTCCAGAACCAGATTTGCTGGAAAAAGGAGTTAAGAGACATCCTCAAAGTATCAGTATTAACCAGTTAATTTTTTGATTTAATACATGTATATAATATCCTGGAAAATGAAAACTTAACTGTCTTCAGTTAATAAACTAGCTCTTATAGTCACTTGTTAAAATCAACGCATACACAAAGCCAGCAGTGAGCATGGTTTCAAGTTACCTATTAACTGTTTTGAGTAACACATTCCCTAAATCACACACAGCCAGGCCGCCCGGTTTTCAGAACCGTACTGTCTACTGCGACAGAGCAGCGTGCACTGGAAACTGATGCTTCACAGTACTTGTGGCGCCGAAAACGCAAACAGGTTCTTTGTATTACCTGTACATTTTTAGATTTTACAAAGTCTTAGTTCATAACAAGCTGATGAACTAATTCTTGCTTAGCCTTTTAGAAAAAAGGTGCTGAGCGCTGACTTCTCTATTACACAACTGATAGGCAGCTTTTTATCAAAGGATCACATTTAACCTGAAAAACCAGGCACGTCATGCTAAAGGACCTGAGTATTTCCAAAACAAATAAGTCTAAGTCTGAAAAAAGATTTCACAGTTTTGAAACCATGAAAATTTGTTTGTTGCTCTTGATAAATCACAAGAAAAAAAAAATCAGTAGTCATTTCAACACATGCTTTAGGACAGCAGCACAAGCAGGCAGCAACTGCTGGTATTTTGCCAAAAGTGCCAGATAGATCAATACTATTAACAGCAGCTATGGCCAGTGCAATCTCTCATCTCCTGCCTTGCAAACTTTACTTAGATCTGTAAGACACTGGGCACATTCTTCATCATCATTATCATAAAAGACAATTTTTGTACCTAAGCTAGCAGACAGTGTCTAATATCCAAAATATGCAGAGATACAAAGATTTAACATACTGATTGAGTTTCTTTAAAAATCAAACAGCAGTGTATCAGAGATCTGACACAAAACCAAGTGCCAAGCAGAGAGATTAAGTAAGAAAGGAATCTACCATATTCAAACTTTTAAAGGTGTATCATTCTCCTAACGTAAAAAAAGGTTTTCAAGATGCAACTTACTTGAGTTGAATCTTTAACAGACCTTAAGATATATGTTATAAATTTCATGCCATCATATATAAATTTTGTATCATCGGACATGAAAATGAAAAAAAATTTTTGCATGTTTTTTCTGAGAAATGATGTGACACTTTTGCAACCATACAGCTTTAGAAATTGAGGCTTAGAGAAAGACCAATTTTTGTGAGACTTGTAATAAAAATCTCTAAATCTAGCAAAACTGCTTTTGACCCAAATGCTTACACCAACTTCTATTTTGTGTTAATCAATTATTAGACAGTTCTACCTTACAACTAAAATAATTCACTATTATAAATATTCTTTAAGAAAAAGTTGCCTTTGATACAGAATTGTTGATCTTAAGACTATCAGATTAATAAGGTGTAATTAAATCCAGGCATTTAAGTGCAAGCTTGCAGGGAAGAAAATTACCTCAGGAACAAAACATTAATTCCTTCTGTGCAGATTATTTTGAATTCAACTCCCTGCTTTAGTGGTTTTGGGAACTGGCAAAACAGGAAAATCTTGAAAAGGGTGTTTAAACACCTAACCCGGGTTTTGTTCACTTAAGACACGTTAATAATCCATTGCTCGTGGCAGTTCTTTTGTAAGATGGGACATCAACTACTGACAAGATTCTTTCTGCTGAAGAGGCTCTTTTTAAAATATATGCTTACTGCAAAACAAATCAACTAAACACACACTGTAGGAACTGATGTAACAGGTAGATGGAGCAAATTAATCTGCATCACAAGTAAGATTCCCCCCCAAGTTACTTCAGAGAAGCTGCTAGAGGAATCAAGATACACAGACGCTTCTCATTTCATTGTGCGTATATGACCGGGATGTGGAATGTGCTCTCACTGTGTTCAGACCTGTCCCAGATTTCCCTCTGATTTGAAACAGAAGGGAAAAGAGTCTCTCTCTCTCTCTCTCCCTCCCCAGTGCTGGCAGCCACCCTCCGTGCTGGGGAGGGCTCCTACCATCAGGTTCAACGGCACGTTTCGATTATCTTTAAAGAAAGAAAAACAAACAGCTCTCTTGGCGAGACAAAAGCGGCTCACACGAAGTATCCGCGGCCCGGGCCGTCCGAGAGGAGGCAAAAAAGAGGGGGCTGGGGCTCCGGCGCACCGAGGGGAGGCTGAGCCGGCGCCGCGGTCTCGCCTCCCGGGCAGGGCAGGCATCGCCTCGCGACCCCGGCGAAGCGGTTCCTGAGGGAAGGCTACCTTAAAACATACGCCCGAGGTGGGGGAGGGTGTTTAAATTTCTATGTGCGGGGAGTGGAAAGAAGATTAAATCCCACCTGTGCCAGGAGGCAGGCAGACACACACGCACACGGGGGAAGGACGCGCCAACCCCGGCGCTGCCAGGGCCCAAGCCCCACACGGCGGCTGGCCGGGCGGGAAGGAGGGGCGACGGGCCGAGGCCGTTCAGGTGTCGCCGCGAAGGAAGGGGCAGAGGGGGAAGGCCGGAGGGTTCAAGTCCCCCCCGCAGGTAGGAGAGAGGGCGGGCGGAACCGACCGGCTCGGGGCTCCTCGGGCGCCAGGAGGAGAGAGAAAGGAAGGCGCGGGCTCCCCGGACCGCAGGCTGAGAGAGCGGCGGTGAGGGGCGGCCGGCGCCCCT